CTATGGGGGCCAGGCATTGATGCATCTTCATCATCGATGTGTTCAACGGGGAGTTCTTGACGAGCCAGATGATCGGCTTGACGATGAATGCATCTTCATCATCGATGTGTTCAACGGGGAGTTCTTGACGAGCCAGATGATCGGCTTGACGATGAATCCTACTCTTTGATGCAGGACTCTCTGTCTTCTGTTGGGCGGTGTGGCATCAGATACATGTTTTGCTGCGTTATGTGAGAGGTTCATTCTCCTCCACTCGTCAAAAGGAAATTGTTGTAAGAACAGAAGAGCAATGTGACGCTGTTCTTATCGTGACAGGTGTTTGGGGGGTTTGTAATGCGCCAGGAATCTCACGCATTTGTTCCTTGGACGCAGCTTTCTGGCCGGCCAAACTGTTTGCTACAAGGGCATGCACAACTTGAAGTTCAGCTTACGGAAGGACCTTCATGCTTCAGTGGGCAAGCTACTGAGGTGGATGGTGGAGAATGTGAAGATTCTGATGTCGTGGCCCTTTACGATGCTGGACAGCGGGATGATCCCGGGGACAATTGGCAGGAACAGAGACACAACATCATTGACCATGCTGTCACGAGAGGGGAAATCAATGACAGGTTTGATGGGCTTCTTGTGAGATTCCCTCAATTTCACAAGATTGTCTTCTTCTTTGGCATGGGGATCGAGAATGAGGACGGTTTTGCGATACAACCTTGGACGGGGAGGCCTTTGACACAGATGGTGGAGCAAAGATGGCCCTTTCTCAAGACGTTTGAGACTTCTCACAGATTCGTTTGACTGCCTCCATGTTTGATCCCTTCGAAAGATTCCTGATCGTCTTGGTGCACCACACGGCCATCACGGTGGCTCCCACACACCCCACCATTGTGGTGGAGTGGATTTTTCAACTCAGGTGGTCTTGCGCTTCTTTCCTGCAAACTAGAGTTGTCCCTCAACTCTTGCCCTTTGCCGACATTCTGGCAATCGTACCCATGTTGGTGAGAGCAAGACCTGAGCGCATTCGGATCTCGAGGAATGGAGTTTCGCAGGACCCTTTTTTTCCCTGTGCAATTTCAAATTTCAATCAGGTGATGTCCTCATGGTGTTGGTTTTGTGGGAACAGGTGGACTTGGCCTTTCGCGGCAGGCATTGCAGAGACGGACCTGGCCTACAGTCTTCTTGGCCTCCCACCTCGTTTCCACGCAGAGCATTCTGCTGTCGGAGGCAGAGCTGTGCTGGTTCCCCCTACGCCGCAGGGCTTGAATGTTCGATCTTCTTTCACAAGACTCTACGCCAATCTTTGGCTCTACCACATCTACAACTGGTTGATGTCATGGGTCAAGAATCGATGGAATTTTCTGAAGCCCAACCCGCGCTGGAAGATTGAGCAAGTCAACATAGCCTACAGATCATCCGTTCTGTTGCGGCGCTTTGTGACTGTCTTTTATGTGCGCTTCATCAACCCGAATGGAGGAGTTTCGTTGCTAGTGGAGTTTGACAATGGACGACGTTTTAAAGAAATTGCTGCTTATGTCAGGCTCCTTGTGATGCACCGGCAGACACGAAAGACGTTCTATGTTGAGCAATGGATCCCTGAAGAAAGACTCATGGAGAATCCTGAAGACCCAAGACTTTTTGTCAATGGAAAGAGGTAGAGCATGAGTACTTCATTGTGGAAGAAGGTGACTACATACTTATACTGATCCTGACCGTTGTTGGAAGAAACCTGGGCAGTGTCAACATAAGGCTCAATCAGGGCACCCTCTCAATGCTCCTGCCGCTGGCCCCAGTCTGACGCAGAGAGGCAGCCAATTAGGCATTAAGCGTGAAGCCCATGTTCGTGAAAGAACCCCCAGAGACCGGGGACGGGGTTGACGTGACTTGGACCGATCATGAGAACGGGCGGCCTGTGCTGAGACATGTTTGGCATGTGCAACGAGTGCCAGCTGACCTCACCAGAGCTTTTTTGCTTCACGCGGTTGGTTTGGCTGAAGTCTGTGCGCGAGTGACATGTGTGGTCTTGCAAGGAGGATCATTGTGGGTGGACACGAAATCCAGGTTTGCTGCGCTGGTAGGGTCACACACCATTGTTGGACGAGGTGACGCAGAGGATGAGCGCTCTAGCGATCCCTCTTCTAATGAAAGCCCCTCTCTCTTGCAGGTGCACTCTGCCTTGAACCGAAAAGGAAGTGAGAAAGGAGGGTCATTTGCCCAAGCAGCAGCTGTGAAGCTTCCGCCCCCTGGCAATGGTAAAAAGGATGCGTTTTGATGAGTTGGTGGAGGCGCAGGAGAATCATGGGATCTCCAAAATCATTGTGGACTACACCATCCAGAATGAGCACACTGAACGGTTGGTGGAACATTTGACCAACTCAATGCGGGGCAACTTCTTTGCCAAGAGCTTGCGTCGATCCTTGAAGGCGGCCACTTACCAGGAGAGGCGTGTCTGGCTTGAGGCAAGGGAGTGGGATGACTATGCTGATGATAAGGAGGCAAACTTCCTGCCTGTTGCCTCTGACAGTTCTGATGAGTCGGTTGTTGAAGTCCCTGCACTTTGTCTCTCTGAGTTGCTAGGATCCTCGTCATCTCCGCAGAAATCACCAGGTGCAGAAGAAAGGCATTGATTTCAGTGAGGCCTGTGATGCACTGGATTGGTTCAATACTCATCTGGTTCACCCTTCTTCAACGAGCAATTGAGGTGGCGCCAGAACAGCAAGCCATGGTTGCAGCTTGAACATTGGCAGCTCCAGGAACTTGAGGAGCTTTGGTTCCATTTGGACGGCTCGAGTGATGGCGTGGACACCGGCGCTGCTGTGACACTTTGGGCCAGAGGTGATGACTGGCAATGGGGAGGAGCCCTTCAACATAGCTTCCATGAGGCACCAGATGCTTACCATGCCGAGGTTGCGGCGCACATCCTTGCTCTTAAGTTGGGTCCACGACTTGCTGAGGACGGCTAGGAGGGTATGGGGACAGAGACGATGTTTGGAGCCTACACCCAATTTGCCTGAAAGCGAGGGCTTTGATGCAGACGGTACAAGTGGCACATGGGGTCACGGTGATTCCTCATTACACCAAAGCGCACACTGGCAACCCAGGCAACGAGGCGGCAGACATGGACAGTGGCAGTGACTGCAAGCTCGCCCAAGTTCCTGCTCACGCGGCAATGGACCGGCTCTGTGGACATCCTCATTGCCAACTTGCGCGTTCCCCCTAGTGGCCGCTCCGAGGAAGAGATTGTGACCTTTTTGGTGGGCCTTCAAGCAGGCCATTTCCCTCACCTCCACGGCAAAAAAATGATTCTCACGGGAGACTTCAACTTGAGGGTCGACAGCATTTGTTCAGTGGCCATTGGGGACCATGGGGCTGCGGAAGAGACCTTTGCTGGTGGCATTGAGTATATCTTTTGCGTGAGGGATTGTGTTTGCCGGCCACCTTCACTCGTGTCCACCATGGACCTACCAGCACTTTGTTCATCCAAATGGAGCCACTGCACGTCTTGACTATGTGGCCATCCCTCAACGATGGGCCACTTCAAGTCTTCGATCCTGGACGGATTTTGGGCTGCAAGCTCATCACCATATGCATGATCACATTCTGTGTACGGTTTGCGGTCTCACTTCGTTAGGGTTTCTTCATGCTTAGCTTCGCGCTTCACTTCTTCAGGGTTTCTTTGGCTCGTGGGCTTAGGGCTTCACTTCTCTGGCGTTTCTTTTGGTTGGGCTTCTAGGGCTTCATGTCTTTAGTCTTTATCGCGTCTTTATCGTGTCTTTGGGTTTGGCGTCCGAACTTTGCTCGGCTTGGCTTAGGGCTTCGCTTCTTTAGTCTTTAGGGTTTCTTTGGGCTTGGCTTCTTTAGTCTTTAGGGTTTCTTTGGGCTTGGCTCAGGGCTTCGCTTCTTTAGTCTTTAGGGTTTCTTTGGCTTTGGCTTGCGAACTTCACATCTCTCATGACTTCTTTAGGGTTTCTTTGGGTTTGGCTTGCGGGGTTTACTTCATTAGGGTCTCTGAGGGCTTCAGTGCTTCACTTCCATAGGATTTGTTTGGGTATGGCTGGTTCGCTTCTATCACATCATGGCCGTCTCTTCTTTCTGACTTTTTTCGGGTTCCTTTAGGCTTGGCCGAGGGCTTGAATTCTTCAGGTTTTCTTTGGCGTAGGGCTTCACTTCTTGGGATTTATGGGATTTATTAGAGCTTGTCTTGCTTGGGGTTCGCTGGGTTTGCGGGATTTTGTGGGTCTCACTTCTTTATGGCTTCTGCTTAGCGCTTCACTTCTTTAGGGTTTCTTTGGGCTGGTTTGGGTGGGGTGTTGCGGGCTGTTCAGGGCTGACTTCTTTCGGGTTCTTTTAGGCTTGGCTGAGGCTTGGCTTCTCTAGGGTTTCTTTGGCTTTGTTTTGCTTGGGTTTGGGCGTAAGCCCAACTTTGGGATTTCTTTGGGCTTGTCTTGCTGGGGTTGAGGGCTTCACTTCTTTAGGATTTGTTTGGGTATGACCTCCAGCCTCCGATTCGAACTCGAACATGGTCTGTTTCTTTGGGAATCGCATGCAGAGTCACAGGTTGACATCAGCCACCGCCAAACCGCGCACAATGCCGAATTCAGTAGAAAGCGCTCGTGCCTTCGAGACTTGGACTCCCCCCTTGCGATCCTATCTTTCGTTCACCCCCTCCTATCTCAAGTTCACACGAATCTGACACGTCACGTTTCCATCCGAAACCCTCTCCAAAAGCTTCCCCCAATGGCAGCGCCTTAGCGCTCTACTGCGAACACCTGCGAACGGTTGCGGACGGCTGCGAACGGTTGCGGACGGTTGCGAACTTAGAAACAACGGGTCACGAACAAGGCTCTACCCCCAGACCCCAAGAGTTAAACGAGAACCCTTCGCTACGCATTCGGGAAAAAAGAATCTAATGTTTTTTGTTCTCTCAGGAACTTTCCCCCCTACATCTTGGTCCCGTTCGATGTTTTCTTGCCCCGTTCGACGGTCAGTAGGCAGTGCACGGCTGGCTTCAGGATGATGGGCGGCTTACTGGTGGGCACACCGGAAGACAAGAGCCAGTGCATGGACGCTTGGCATTGGTTGGAGGCGAGATTGAGGCCTGGCGGCGGCCAGGGGTGGTTTTCCTCATGAGCAAGTGAATAAGGTGTGTCCCTGACATTCCCTGGCATTAGCACTTATCCAAGTGGTGAACAAATGAATGCTAAGTTACTAAGGGTGTTATGAATTTTTCAGCTTGATGATTGGAACATCTTCAGCTGTAGTGATGTAAGGAATGTTGCTGCAAACCAGTCATTCCAGGCCAAGACATCTTCCCTCGCACAATCAAACTCACAGAGCTCCTGCTTTGGAGACAACAACGACCTTGAAGGGTTGATACTTTGATACTAGACTCCAGACAGTGAAAACCCCCGAGGCCACCGGCCCTTGAACAGTATCTAGGAGATGCCCAGTGTCTTGAGTCGGGACAATAGATAGAGACTTGCTTGGACTTGCCGCGTAGATTTTGGCAATTGTCCTGGATGCAGACATACTTGTCTAATCTTTTATAGATGTGTTCATAGCAGGCTCGGGTCTAGATGTTTGTGTGTTTTCCAGTTCCGAAGAGCCTCGCGCAATGCGTTGGCTAGGGTTGTGCCTCGTGAACGAACTGGTTTTCTTCATGTTTTCTCCATGTTTTCAGCCTGCCAAGCTCAGGACGCCTTCAGGCAAATCGATGCTTTGCAGAAGTTTTCAGAGCTTTGAGATGTTATGGGCGTGCCCAAATCCAGGTGTGCACTCAATCACTTCTCTATAGATGCCTATTATATGGTTTGCTCTTTGGAGTGTCATGTGCTCGCGATATCCATTGCTGAATTCGAAGATTGTGAAGCCAAGGAAGGCAACTTCGCAGTGAGTTCAGTGGTGGATGCTTGCAGTGCACAGGAAACGATCGTTGGAGGTTCATGAACAGAAACAAGGAACCTACAAGTCAAGGGGTCTATTGAAGCGTGCAAGGATTCCCTCACGCTCGTGAAACGAGGGAAGAGACGAAAGAGCCCCTTGTTCAATCGGCTCCTCTCAGCCTGTCAAAAGAAACAGCTGCCTGGGCAAAAGCTGGAGAACTAGCTGCCCTGGTTTAGTGCGGGAGGAATGCGGGCACGTACATCTGCCCAGTGACCAAGGACTGCATCATGGACCATTACTTCCATGGATCGAATCAAGTTGAGGATACCACGACACCGGAATGGAAGGACGGCATGAGGGAATCGGACATTGATTGGGTGTAAGAACCCAGAACCCACTGGGCCCATTGGGCTAGGAAGCCTTGTAACCGGATGATGCTTCATTGCCTGAGTAGTAGCCGAGAGGGGTGCAACCAGCCTTACTGTGCGACGGTGCCGTTTGAGTTTGAAAGTAATTGATGTAATTGGAGCCAATTCGATTTGTATTCAGCCCACAGCAAGGGCCCTTCCAAGGAACAATTGACATAATGAGACTTGGTTTCCCTTCTTAGGCGATTGAGAGAGAGAGAGAGAGGGAGAGATCATGTAGAAACTGGACACTCAAGTGAGCAAGAACAAATTTTCCGGAACTCAACTTATTTGCAACAAGCCAGCTTGCCACAATCTGTACTGAAAAATGCTCAAAGCCCCCTTGCTTTGCTTTTCCTGAGCATCACTCATTTGGAGTCATGTGGACGATAACCGGGGAAGGCTCGTTACCTCTTGAGGGTCCATGACGATCCCCCAGGAAGAAACACAAACATACTGCTCCAAGTATCTCCAAGTATAGTGTAACATGTTTCTACCAACCTCCTGGAGAAGTCCTTCGCCTGCAGTTTTACTATAGTTTTTTCTATGTTCGAAGAAACAACTTGTTCGATGCACGGGAAGATATTGTCTCTCCGCTTCGCTTCTCCAGGAGGCAGTGAGTCTCATCTTGGAGGTTTTGCGGCGCTGCGCCGAATCGGTGTCATCCATCGAGGACAAAGTGATCCCGAAGATACTCGAGAATTTGGAGCTTTGGAGGTGAAGGATGCGTTTTTTTGGCGAAACTTCTGTACAAATGTGAGAGAGGTTTGTAGGGTCTTGCGTTGCCCCATGTCGTCCCCATAGAGTTGGCGGATGCATTGTCCAAAGGGGAGCAGGTTGTTGGTGGGGCCTGCTGTTGAATTGAAGAAATCGGAGAACCTCCGAAACCTGGATCTCCAACCATCTCCAACCTGTCAGGCCTGCGTGGGCACAGCAACGTGCTGCCTGGGCGGCTGAGATCTTCTTCAACAATGCCTTAGGGAAGGACGGGGACCCGAGTCAACGCCGGACACTTGGGGAGTCCGACAGATTCCAAATGATTCGAGGTATTTTGATGTAATTTGGGTGGGAAACCACAACAGGACTGGGTGTCAGAATGCTTTTTTGAGGTCCAGCATGTTGTAGGTGCATAAAGGACACGGCAGCTCGACATGCCCTTTCGTCTAAGACACTGCTATGATTGCAAGGTGCCTTTGACGCTTGAGATGGCGGAATTCCTCTTAAATCCCCTTAAGTCCCCATATATAAGTCCCTTGCGATGAGCACATGCTTATTGGCCGTGTATATTGTGACGCGTCGTTTGTTTGAAAGCCACGCCTCTTGGGGTCTCGAGTCTAGGCGAAAAGCTTGGTCCATGATTGAGGTCTTGCGATCCGCACAGGTCTTGCACGATGTTAGTGTGTGTGCAAGGATGTAGTGGACAACGCAAATTTGTGGACTTCTCTTCAGGTTTGTGGGTCACTCACTTCAACGCACTTCACACAAATCAACTTGACCCCCGCAAAAGGGACTTCGAAGTCTTTGTCTCCTTCCCGCATCGTACGGGCAGAAAGAAGACTATCGAATTGTCACCCATTCTTTGCTCAAGACCTGTCACAACAACCCAGACATCATCTTCCTCCTAGCATTGCCAACAAGGGAGGCTGGTCCTATTGATCAGACTTCATCCAGAGTCATCAATGCCCTGTCAGCAAGGAGCCGGTGCCCTTTCGGATTTGGATGTCCATGCTGCATCAAAAAGGCATCGAAATCGACATGAGGGACACGAAAACGCGGCTTTGACCGCGTTGTCGAGCGAGCGGCGCCTTTTTGTTGGAAAGGAATGGATTTTGCCTTCCATTTTGGGATGTCCTCAAGTCAGTGGATCAGTGAGTCAGTGAGGGTTGGTTTTCCTCTATTAGAGCTAACAGTTAACACATCTAACCCACATGTCGAGCTGGGAGGTAAAGCCTTTCTCGACCTGTGCGAGAGCTTTCTGGCTGTTGCACCTGGATCCTACCAGGAGCTCATGGAGCACTTATGCAACGAGCTGGCAGGACCTCGAGCTTCGCTGTAGACAAGAAGAGCAGTCCGGTGAAATCACCCTAACTATCCTAACTTCCTTGAGAAGCTAAGGTGTGTATGCTGAAAGTTGGCGCTTGACATGATGTTTGCCACATGACATCCAAGGGTTTCTTCCAGCCTCATGACAGGCATCTCCGCTGTCATCCTCTGAAACCACCGGGGATCGGTTTTCACCGGCTTCGTTTCAGCTTGAGGAGGTGATGGCCTCAACCGGGGCGATGCAATCCGTGCAATCGGCTCTTTAGCCGCCTGGATGAAAAATCTGGCAAGATGAAATGATGCTTCTCCAAGCAGTTTCCCACAGAATCAATTGGAAAGGTGAAAGGTGTTGATTTGGGATGCCGGTTTGTGGGGCCTGGAAAAAACCCTGGCCGCTGCTTCCAGTTGAGGCAAGCAAGCAGGACAAGAAGGTCATGATACAGCTGCGGAGGTGGGCACACGAACGACCGGAGTGGAGTATAGCGGGACTAGCTGAGGCTGAGCTTGCAATGGTGATTGAGCCTCACCCCTGAACGGCCCAAAAGGTTTTGGCTCATTTCATGGCACCAGGTATTTGGGGCGCGCAGACTTCATCTTGATTCGCGAGGGCCCACACTACTTGCTGGCTGCCCTGGAGGTTCTTCATTCGCTGAACGGCCATGAGGCAGGTCACACGCTCGCCCCAGGCGAAAAGCTTGGTTTAGTATTTAGCGAAAAGAGCAGAACGGTCGGTAATTATAATATATATATATATATATTTGAGTTGAATTGACTCTGGGGCTTTGTTACGCCAATAACTTGCCTTTCAATGTCTATAGTCTATAGATGTCTATAGTACAGAAATGAAACTTTTGAATTCAGTCCACGTAGTTTGCATTCAGAGGTTCAAAGAAGCTTATCCTTTTACCTGGCTTCGATGTTCAATCCACCTTTCCCCTCATTTGTTTCATCAACGAGAAGGAGATCGTCCTAGAAGGTCTGAAATAATCAGTGGACGTTGGGGGTTTGCACATCCATCTTCCCTCTGACTAGACATATATCCAATGTCAATTTGGAGTGTCTAAATCTCAGGACACTCAGATGTAAACTGACGGCGATGCCCTGTCGTGACGGCTAAACAGTTGTCGACCCGTCATTTCCTGCGAACTGGTTCCTTTTTTAGGATTAGAACCAGCCTATGTTTGGACCAACTCTCGTTAGCTCACACCAGTCAAACGATTGGAGAGGACGATGAAAAGCCGTGGAAGAGTCCTGCTACTCCAGCACACTTCAAGCTCATGAAAGCCCTAGCCAAAAGGTGACGTGGCTGCACGGCCAGCCGGCGTCAAGCCAGCCAAGGTAGTGCAGGAGGGACGAGTTGAAAGCCGGAGTAGAAAGTTACAGAGGATGCATTGATCAGTTTTGAACATCAAGAATCAAAAATTGAGGCAACAGTGTGTATGCTTCCTTGTCTTCGTCGGGTGTTCTTTGTCCGTTATTCCACATCTCCGACTCCAATAATGTGGCAGCCCTTCACCCTTTGATGATTTTGATGATCCAGCGTTCCCACCAATGAACGACTGGCAAAGCGTGGCCACACACCCCATGTTTGTTGCATGTTAGATATGTTAGATGATCTCCAAACATATCCAAACCATCATGGTCACAGGATAGAGCTGTAGGAAAGACCACACAGACCTGAAAGATGCGTTGTTCGCCGTTGGGGAACCCGGACTCCGCGCAACTCCGCGCAACACCCGAGGTTAACCAAGACGGGAAGCAAGTCCTACAGCTCTCCATTGCTGAACTTGAGTCTGGCCTTGACTGAAGATCCTTGGACCAAGATGAAGGGGAGACGCTTTAATGATCTTGGATTGTGCTTTTACATGGCGAAGCTCTGGTCCCAGCTTTTTTCGCCCACTTGTGTAGGATTTCAATGGAAGGTCATTCTGATGGCTTCCAGCCTAATAGCGATGGCCTCCAGCCTCCAACCTACTTAGCGGTGGCCTCCACGTCCCATCGCCTCAAACGAGCGCTGAGGAGGTGGGCGCGGACGAGCTGCCGTCCCAGGCGGGGGCGCCCGTGTGTGTGTGTGTGTGTGTGTGTGTGTGTGTGTGTGTCAAGCCCTGTTTCTAAGGGTCGTCCCCTTCCGTTTTGTTTTTGTTTGTTTTATGTTCTCATGCAGGGGGGCAGTGGACCACTATCACTCACTGCCCAACGAAGACAGTGATAGATCGGTCGTGAAGCAATGTGGGACGCCGCATTGTGTACCTGCTGAGTTCTCCACAAGCTGTCACCCTACTTTTCCACGGTTTGATTCATGGTCCTTCATGATACTTCCCCCAAACCGGTTTCCCTCCACCACTTTCTGCCACTGAGCCGCCGTGAGCTGCCGTCGTGAGTTCTGCAGACTGCAGATGTGCATAAACCACTTGTTCAAAAATCTGCAATTTTTCGGACTTTCCACCTTGCCATTCTCTCACCTTCTTTCCACGTGGGAACTGCATAACTGAAAACCAATGTCAGAGTGTGAACCGCTCAGTCGTCCCACTTGGGTGCTGGGCGTGATCCCCGTCACTGGGGCGCTGAATTCATGCTGGAAATCGTGTAATGGATTTTCCCTTTCCACCACTCCTTGGATTCTCTTAGCTGATCCCTTTTCACTACTGGATTGACTGCTTCAACAGCCGCCGGGCTTGTACGGACAAAACGTTTCCACTTGAGTTGATCGAATTCACCTCCTCATGCATTCCACTATGGCCCTTCTAAGGTCAGGCACGTTTTTTCTAGTTCCCAACCACCCCCCCCGCCGAGTTCTACTCCGTACCTAATTAGGGTAACACAGGGAAATGGTACTCGACACACTTGTGTGTCGGTGCCTTTCCCTCCGTTGTCCCTGCTCTAGTCTACTCTACCCGGGCGGTGTAAGACTTAAAGTCCCGCTCCCTAACTATTGCACTTAATTCGTTTCCGCTAAGTAGTCGGTAACTCTAGAGGGCTAAGTATTCAAACACACACATGGACGCACACCCCCACCCTACCCCCCGCTTTCTTTCTTGCGCTTTTCGTCGTTTGTTGGGCTTTCTTTCACAACTCCACGTTTTCTGCGGAAAATCAAAGCCTTCGTGGGAACCTAAACACGCGCCGAAAACGGCCATGTGTGTGTGTGTCAAGCCCTGTTTCTAAGGGTCCTCCCCTTCCGATTTTTTTGGGGGGTTTTATGTTCTCATGCAGGGGGGCAGTGGACCACTATCACTCACTGCCCAACGAAGACAGTGATAGATCGGTCGTGAAGCAATGCGGGACACCGCATTGTGTACCTGCTGAGTTCTCCACAAGCTGTCACCCTACTTTTCCACGTTTTGATTCATGGTCCTTCATGATACTTCCCCCAAACCGGTTTCCCTCCACCACTTTCAGCCACTGAGCCGCCGTGAGCTGCCGTCGTGAGTTCTGCAGATGTGCATAAACCACTTGTTCAAAAATCTGCAATTTTTCGGACTTTCCACCTTGCCGTTCTCTCACCTTCTTTCCACGTGGGAATTGCATAACTGAAAAACCAATGTCAGAGTGTGTGTCACCCTCCGTTTCCAGCAGTTCCCTTTTTTTGCGAAATTGCACCAAGATACGCATGGGGGCTCACGGGTCTGTTCCTGGCGTGAGCCAACGAAGCTCCAGGTCCAGACTGGGATATCGAAAGAGGACGCTCTTTCGACGCACCTGCGCTCACCCTTTGACCACGCTGTTCCATTCTCGGTTTGATTCATGGTGCTAACTTTTTTTGTATGCTATTTCCCACAAACAGGTTTCCCTCAGCCGCTTTCCGCTGCCGCGCTATCGCAGTCATGCACAAACAATGTTCTGCAACTCTTCAACTGGGCTGATTTTCCGCCTTTCCGTTCCTTCATCCAGTTTACCGTAGATTATGGTTAACTGAAAACCCTGTGACTAAGTGCGTGGAGGGCTGCTTGTCAGAAGTGCAGGGGAAGTCTGTCAATGTGTGTAATTAATCCCGTCCCCCTAATAATAAACACGGCCCCCCCCCCCCCCTATTAAAAAAACCTCGGTCGCATTTTTTTTAATAGGGGGTCCCTGAAATCGGGGGGTTCAAAATAGGCTCAGTGGATGCGCACTAGTTTGTTGACCGTGAACTGCAGATTTCGTGGCAGGTGCAGTACTTTGCTGACCTTGAAGTGCAGATTTCGTGGCAGATGCAGTACTTTGCTGACCTTGAAGTGCAGATTTCGTGGCAGGTGCAGTACTCTGTTGACA